ATATTATAATATATTGTTAACAATATTATAATATTGTTAGACTAACAATATTATCGAAACAAATAAAAAATTATAATTAAAACACCCAAAACAGCTTGGCCAGACAGAACCATCCATAAAACCATCCCAAATCCAAGGGAATTTAGGACCCAGGGGTGCAGTGCCTCCAGCTCGGAGCCGCAACTTAGCCAGACGCCCCCCCCCTCCGCCTTGGCCCCGCCCCATCGAATCCTCCGGTGCTCCAGGCGAGCCGTGATTGGCCCTGGCAGTAGCCACGCCCCCGAGCTGCCTGCCCTTTAGAGAGTGGGAGGCAAGCGCGTGGAGCAGTTGTAGAGGATGCGCTCAGGGGACAGTTGTGTGTTGCTTTGCAAGCTCTATGGAGGTAAGGCTATCCCAGGGTCTGGAATTATTGTAAACTGAATTTATTTAAGGGCTTAGACTTGTCTCTTCTTTCCATTAAAGCTCGCCCTTAGAAAAGTGAGTGGCAGTCTTTGAGCATGTGCAGAGTGATTTTTCCTCCCCATCACTTTGGAGAATGGGACTAACCTTAGCCCTGTTAGTTTGGTAAATAAGTTTCCAAAGGGATCTTGCAGCACCTTTGAGACTAACTCAGGGCCAGGGTGACCAGGCGTCCTCCTTTTCCCGGGCGTGTCCTCCATTTCCAGCCTTCTGTCCAGGAGGAATTCCCAAATGAGTATAACTAGAGATTCCACCTCAACATTAGGAGGAACTTCCTGACAGTAAGAGCTGTTTGACAGTGGAAGACTTTCCCTCGAAGAGTGGTGGAGCCTCCTTCTTTGGAGGTCTTTAAACAGAAGCTGGATGGCCATCTGTCACAAGGGGTGCTTTGATTGTGAGTTCCTGCATGGCAGAATGGGGTTGGACTGGATGCCCCTTGGGTCTCTTCCAACTCTAGGATTCTATGACTAGGATCCAAGACACATTGCAGAAATGATCCAGTTTGAGACTGCTTTAACTGCCCTGGCTCAATGCTAGGGAATTCTGGATACTGAAGTTTTGTGAGACATTTAGCCTTAATAATAATAATAATAATAATGTAGAGAGACCATGTAGCACCTTTGAGACTAACTGGGCAGCATGAGCTTTCCTAGACTTCAGTCTGCTTCCGCCAAATAAATTTGATATTATTTTTTTATTATTAATGTAGAAAAGATCTTGTAGCACCTTTGAGACTAACTGAAAGAAAAAGTGGGCAGCATGAGCTTTTGTAGACTTCAGTTTACTAAGGGGGGTTGCAGACTGCCAGAAAATGCAAATTCAGCCCACTTTTAGGGTTAGGGTTAGGGAATCATGGGAAC